ATTATGGTTCTCCAATCCCACGTCTACCTCAGGCAAGTCAAGCTATTCTAGCNCAAGAGCCAATAACATCATGTGACCAGTAACAGCAACCGTTTAATAGTAACCATTTAACAGTTACACGTTTCGTCACTTACCTACTCCTCTGTGCTAGAATCGGTGATCTTACCCTACTCGTAACATTTAAATCGTGACGGGACCCGAAACGTGGCATGAACGAACGAGGTTATCGGCTACTAACGACCCTTCCAGTTGCGAAACATCCGCTTGCGACCACCCAACAACGCCAGGCGGCGGCAGGACCTCGAAACATGCACCAACTTGCTCGGCAAGGTTTCCAGTGATGACGTAGATGATGACCTGGATAAGCTCGGCGACCACTGTATTTGGACCGGTGAAAACGACTCCGTCTTTGGTACGGCCTTCTCATCATCTTCCCAATACGGAGTCTCATTGTAAATTATTAATAAACGAGAATTGAACGCATCATCATCATCATTAAATAAATATAATAGGCCCATTAAAAGCCATTATTTTCGAACTTTGACCCTTAACCGGATATGCGTAACTCCTTCCTTCAACCAAACGCTTCAAATGAGACAAATTAAACTTCGATATATCAAACTCCTCAAACACAATAACTTTATGAAAATTTACATCTAAATCCTCAAATGGAAACATACCGAAATCAGGATAAAATACAAACGGCATGGACTTCAAACCAATAAAACGTTCAATAAGGGTTGACTTCCTCGTATTCGGCGGACCCCACAAATACAAAGCCTTCTGCTAATACTACGTAAATCAGTAATACGCGAATTCCACCAGTCCGCAACACGCATAGCCCAGTTACAATTAACTTGCGTTATAGTACGGAAACCCCCAAAACGCAACCCCTCCTTTTTTACGAAAATCAACCAAATAATTCTGTAGATACTTATACAATGTCCTATGCTCTACAACAAACGCATCTGTATGATCAAACACAAACGTGCGACGAGCCCAACACGCCATCTAGAGTTTATATGAAAATCACTCTCCGTAATATTCGTAACAACATTAATATCCTCCTTTGACAAATACTTAATACTGTATACGTAAATGAATATCAGGAAAACAATCCATTATTACGTCACGAATAACATTCAACAATTATTTTTCTTCAAGTTTTAAATAAAAATGGTAATGGAAGCTTACACTAGATGAACTATGACTGCACTCGCGTCCTCCAGCAAATTGAAATTGAGGGCGTAGCTTTGGAGCCTTGGTCCGGGAGATCGGACTCTGAGTCCGAATCCTGCGAAGAAGAGGAGGAAGAAGAAAGGAATGGTGTTCTCTTCCTTCGTTTGTTGCGCCGACTACCGGCTTGAATAAAGCCGCGGGGGGTGGGTGGGTCGCAATTCCCAATGATAATTTGGGAGAAAGTGGCTGAAGTGCTAGGGGGAATGTCTTCAGCCATTGGGGTTGCGGATGCTTCTTCTAAATGAAGACGAAGAAATTCGTGAATGGTGGCGAGCCTACCCTGAAGATCGTCGGCAAGGGTCTATATTTCCGCAATGGAGAAACCCTCCAAGGTTTGTAGCAGATGTCGGCAATTGTCGTTATGGGACTTATTCGTGAAGCAATATACAAACTGAATGACGTTGATAGGAAAGTTCAAAGGGTCGTTGCGTGCTCGGTGTTGGTGCGTTGTAGGTATTTGTGTATCCGTTGTATTACTGTCCTGCTATTTGCTTTTTTTATTGGATATACCTGTAACTGTTTAAGACTCACAGTTGACCACTTCATTGTAAAGTACTGACCCCTTACAATACCTTATTGTAAATTTCATACGCCAAGGAATGTGACGGCCTCTCCTGTGGATGTTCCTTTAGGTATTTTAGAATTTGCTCTTTTTTTTCACTTGGTAATAAATTTTGACTGAATGGTAAGTGAATCTATATTATCTTTAATAGTAAGCATATTTACGAAACGCACTTCTTATTTGTAGCAGTTTATGTACGACATAGGGCCGATCTTACGGCACTTCCGCTCGTTAGATTTTGTCCTCTGATTGGTCGGCCCCGTCCCCCTCTTGTGTCATGTGGGTGTTTTTTGTTGTTATCCTCCATTTTGTTAACGCCTTCGGGCTTGCAATCGTTCCCCCCGCATTGCCATTTATGGAATATTTTGTAATGATGTTGTAATCGTCCATTTTGTTAATGAGTGGATGGGCGTGACATCGTCCNGATCCTTTGTGTAAATTAACTGGGATTTTGCAAGTGATGTTTGTTAGAATTTTATCTCTTGTCTCGTGAAATTGTATCTGTGTATGTTCGGTAGTCAATGTATTGTTAGAATAATTTATTATTGCATTCATTTTAGTCAAGTCAGCATGACTAATTAATGCGTCGAATGTTGTATGAAAGTCAAAAACTGAAAATTCAATGTAGGTGGGTTCGTCAAATTCATGTAACAAAGGAATGTACAATTTGTACTGTCCTTTGGTCTGTCCGTGGGCCGTTTTAACTTCGAAGGGTTCTTCGTATAAATAATCAGAAAAATATTTAAAAGCCAAAGAAGAATTCATAATAGAGTCTGAAGCTCCACTATCTATCAAAATTTTGCAGTCGTATTCATTTGAGTAAATGTAGGGTAGTCTGGGTGTTTTTACTAAAGCATTGTTAATTTCTTCTAAGTCTATGTAATTTTGTCTTTCGAGGCCTGTGTATGAAAATTTTCATTTTCATTTTCATTTTGGTCGATGTTATTTTCATCTAATTGTGAGTCAGTACAGTCGTCAGGTTCATAGGACGTATCGGTATCAAGAGGTTGGACGGGTAGGTAAGCATTTCCGTATTCGTCATAAACATATGGGTCTTGTTCAACATTTGTCAATTCCTCAACTAAGAAATTGGGTCGTTGTTGGTTTTGGAAATTATTAGGTCTTGATTGATTTTGGAAATTATTGGGTCGTCTAAATTGAGAGACGGTTCTCATTGAAACGTCGCCAGTATTAGGTCTTTGAAAATTGTTTCGAGGAGTATTCCTTTGTTGTTGTTGTTGGAATACCGGGTGAGGCTTAGGCGCAATGAAAGGTTTGAAGGGAGTATTTCTGTTTAATAAAGGAAATTGTTGTCTAGGAATTTGTTGAAAGGTTTGAGGGTTGGTGAAGGGTTGTCTTTGCATTGGACTGAAATTTTGTCGAGGTGCAAAGTAATTTGTCTGTGGATGTTGTTTGTGTGTGGTGGTATTGTGTGGGTGTGGCTTTTTGGAAGTACCTGCCATTTGCCTATATATTTCCAATTTCTTGTTTTCATTGTCTAATTCTTTGCAATAATTGAGTGCCTGAGATAATGAAAGGGGTCGTCTTATTTTTAAATCTGAATAATAGGGTTCACCTACAGATAATTTAAAAATATTAAGGGCCTCTTTCTTATAGTGACTCATTAATGCATTTTGGATTGGGTCACCTTCAAAAACACCTGCTAATTTAGTTAAAATAACCTGAATTTTGTCGTAAAAATCCTCAACAGTTTCGTTAGGTTTTCTAACGCAAGAAATTAATTGATTGAATAACAAATCTTCATTTTCTGGTGACTTAAATTTTGTGGTGATTAAAGCTTTTAATGTAGACCAATCACTTGGCCTTTCTACTAAATATGCAGATTCTGCTCTGCCGGTTAGTTTACTAACAATGTGTCGAAATTTCAAATTTCTATAGGCCGGAGTTGTGGTAGAGACATTAGCGTCAAAATTATCACAATCCGAAATGAACCTATCTACTTTTTCGGGAGAACCATCAAATGGAGCGATGATTTCACCAAAAGCCTTGATTAATTTCAAAAATTCGTCGAGTGATGCCATGCCGTGCAATAATTAAAACGGAAAAGGGGAAAATAGTATAAAAACAGGAGATACAGCAATTGTACTCACGTTTTAAAATCCTCCCAATACTCCTGATCCTTTAGTGGAACGTTTCGTCAGGAATTGTCCAGTCGAAGGTGAAGGACTTTTCAGATGATGAAATGATGTTCCAGGGGTCGGAAGTCTTTTCCAAGGGTGTTTGTTCCTGATGTGGATAGAGACGTCGCAGAAGTTGAAACTCTGAGGTGTTTGGGATGAAATTTGTTGATTTCCACCTTCTCTATCCTGTTCCGGGCAGCGCCAGTTAAAACGTACGATGTTCGAATGGAGTTTTTAAAAACTTTGTTTTAACACATTTATTTGGTTCGGTTTTCAGGAACCTGGATTACACTTTATTTTATCTTAACTATTACACAAAAATGATGGCAAATGAACAACTAGCATAGGTTTGACCTATAAAGTAGACTGTTGATTGAATGAGAAAATTGTGAGCTTATATACTAATTAGATGTGTCATGGCCGGTGGTATAATTCATAGGTAGGGGCAAAGGTCGCTGGATGTAACTCCTCCTCCCTTAGGATAAAAGACGTCCTCGTCTTCAAACGATTACTGGATGAAGGGGTGCTGGAGATGTCTTCATTTCTCTAAGTTCTCTACCATGTTCTTCATTGGCTCGATGTCGGTTCCTCTTGAGCAGAACAGACTTTATCCTTCCCTTAAGACACAAGGTAGCGATTAGGGTGGTCAATATCACGAACGAGAGGGTAGTGATGGCAGCGTGTGAAGCGAAGGTCAACTGCTGTAGATGGACCGGAGTTTTCTCGATCTTTTGCAGCAGTGTTGCTATTTCTCGATGGTCTTGGGGGTAGTTGCTGAGTTTGAGAAGCCCTTCCTTTGGAGTTTGTAGGGTAACCATTCCAAACTGGACTTCTTCTTTTCTTATTGATGTAGTTTCTTTTTCGAATAATTGTTGATTTATGATTGTTATTTTGTCATAATTAATTAGGTAGGAGCCGCAGCCATATTGCTCGTTATCAATGCTCCAATGGTTAGTGGTGGTCATCAGCAGGGTTCCGTTCCGTAACGCCTGGATTTCTTCATAATTTTGAATGTAGATGGTGGGAGACATGGACAATTCTGTGACATTTGTCTTAATTTGATTAGAACAGTAATATTGGTTTTTATCCACGACAGCACAATTGCTATACCATAGGATAAGGGTTTCATATTTGAGCATAAAAACAGAGGGTATTAAAAGGATAGTATTTTCTTTTATTAAGGGATGGATTTTGTTTAATTTGAATCGAATAGGTTTTACAATAGGAAAGCTGATAATACACAACACAGTATCATTTGACAAGATAATGGTTTGTTTATTAAACTTTAATTGATTTAATGGTTCTTCTTCATCGGTAGACAGTAGTTGGCTTTTTGAATAAATTTCTTGAAGATGTTTAATCATTTCGCTAATTTGGATATTAGAAATGGTTTCAAAATTTGGAATATTTTCGCGGGCGAAAGTGATTGATCGTTCCAAAAGTTGCAAATAGTTCAAGAGATTACTTGCAATTTGAGTCAAATGTAATCCATTTATTTCTTTTTGAAGGCTAGTTGTTGCAGCATTAAACGCATTAAATGACTTACTATAATTTTCTTGAACAGTATTGATTAAATTTACGTAGTCATTAGAAATATGATGGGCCAATGACAAATACTGGTCTTGCTTTTCAATTGTTTTCTTTTGATTTTCAAAAAGTTTATACATGTTTGATTTTAATTCTTCATACTGATCTTCATCTACTGTCCCAAACAGGAAATTAAGTGCATTTCCTACTCCGTTTATTAGTCCGCGAGGGTTTCTTCGGATTTTGAATTTATGAAGGGTGTCATTAATGTTGGATAATACAGTTTCTAACGTGTAAAATATGTCAGATCTGTGTTGAAGTTTTAATACAGCGGTTTTTGTTATTAAGTCGGTATAGGCTTCTCGTGCTAAGGTAAGATTGATGGAATAAGCAAAGTTGTGGTAATGGGAAAATACGAGGGTATTTCCAAAATTTTCGGATACATAGGTAATGTTACTGTCTAATTTTGTAACGTCAGTTGTCTCGGCTTGTGCCAGGCTGAGGAGAAGGGTGATCAGGAATGTCTTCGTCATCCTGCAACAAAACGACTTTTCTTACCCTTCTAATGTTACGAAGTGGTATTTTTCTAATTTTTGTTTGACCTGCCAATATTCCTTCAATTCTGTCATTATTTTGGTCGATTTTGGTAGTTCTTTGAAATTTAGGGGCCATTTTAGATTTGTCAGATGTTTTGGTATAAATTTCTCTTGGTAATTCAGGAATAGGGTCACTTTGTTGATTAATTTTGTCTAACGCTTTTTGATTTCTGTCTAAATTTCGATTTTTAACTTTTTCATACAATACAGATAGTTCTTTAATTCTGTTGTTTATGTAATTGCTGGGGTTGTTGAACTCTGGGAGTTCCAAGTCTGTTATGTCTTTGTAAGGTCCATTAATTACTTCAAAGGGTCTAAATTTGGTGGTAGATTGAATTGAGTTGTTATACATGAAAATAGATTGTATCATTAAATTTGGAATTGTTTCTTCAGGATTGGTTTGTTTCAAAATTGTTAATTTTTCTTTTAATGTGCCGTGAATTCTTTCAAGTGGACTGATAGTAGTCGGGTTGCCTGTGCTTGCGAAGTGCAAGTCGATGTGATAAAGTTTACAGAAATCTTTGAGATGGGGGTTGTAAAATTCTGTCCCCATGTCAACTAAAATTTTACCAGGAAGATTGTGATGGTTAATGAAATGTCTTAATTTATTAACTATGGTAATGCCATTTTTATCTGTTATGTGATATGCTTGCGCATATTTACTGAAATGGTCGAAGAATGTCAAAAATGTATTATTTTCAATAGTAAATAAATCCATCATTATTATTTCAAAAGGTTTTGAAGATACCATGGGTCCTTTGTATGGTGGTTTATAGGGGTTTCGTTCGTATTTTGATTTTAAACATACATCGCATTTATTGATGTAAAGCGTGATTAATTTCTTTAAATTTGGATAATAAAATTTTGTTCTGAAATGGGAATAGGTCTCTTCGATACCATTATGATTAGTATCATGATAGTTCGATATTAATTCAAGAGCCTTTTCTCTATTATAAGGTGTTAAGTCCAAAAGGGTTTTCGTAAAAGTTACTTTATTGTTTTGTCCAAGTAATACTTCATGTAACGTTTGAAATACAGAGTGTTGAAAAGCGTCGTTAATTTTGTTGTCAAAATGTATTCCTACTTGTATAGGTACTTTGAATGGTGTGTTTGTTAATTGATGTTTCAGCCAAAATAAAGTTTGTTCGTCTTCTAAAGTTATGTTAATTCTGAATCTACCATTTGGTAGGGTTTTTGTTGTCAATTTACGTTTTCCTAACTTAAATGTGAACTGTAAAGGGAAAACCTGAAGGGGTTTCTCTTCTGATAATTTCATTGTAGGTATAGGATTTTCTTGGTTGGAGTGTACAGTAACTAAGTCGTTATTATCATTGTTGGGTTCATTGTCATTACTGGGTTCAACTANTGATTGATTTGGAAGATTATTTGGTCGTCTAAATTGAGAGACGGTTCTCATTGAAACGTCGCCAGAATTAGGTCTTTGGTAATTGTTTCGAGGAGTATTCCTGTGCTGTTGTTGGAATACCGGGTGAGGCTTAGACGCAATGAAAGGTTTGAAGGGAGTATTTCTGTTTAATAAAGGAAATTGTTGCCTAGGAATTTGTTGAAAGGTTTGAGGGTTGGTGAAGGGTTGTCTTTGCATTGGACTGAAACTTCGTCGAGGTGCAAAGTAATTTGTCTGTGGATGTTGTTTGTTAGTGGTGGTATTGTGTGGGTGTGGCTTTTTGGAAGTACCTGCCATTTGCCTATATATTTCCAATTTCTTGTTTTCATTGTCTAATTCTTTGCAAATAATTGAGTGCCTGAGATAAAGAAAGGGGTCGTCTTATTTTTAAATCTGAATAATAGGGTTCACCTGCAGATAATTTAAAAATATTAAGTGCCTCTTTCTTATAGTGACTCATTAATGCGTTCTGAATTGGGTCACCTTCAAAAACACCTGCTAATTTAGTTAAAATAACCTGAATTTTGTCGTAAAAATCCTCAACAGTTTCGTTAGGTTTTCTAACGCAAGAAATTAATTGATTGAATAACAAATCTTCATTTTCTGGTGACTTAAATTTTGTGGTGATTAAAGCTTTTAATGTAGACCAATCACTTGGCCTTTCTACTAAATATGCAGATTCTGCTCTGCCGGTTAGTTTACTAACAATGTGTCGAAATTTCAAATTTCTATAGGCCGGAGTTGTGGTAGAAAAATTAGCGTCAAAATTAGCACAATCCGAAATGAACCTATCTACTTTTTCGGGAGAACCATCAAATGGAGCGATGATTTCACCAAAAGCCTTGATTAATTTCAAAAATTCGTCGAGTGATGCCATGCCGTGCAATAATTAAAATGGAAAAGGGGAAAACAATATAAAAACAGGAGATACAGCAATTGTACTCACGTTTTAAAATCCTCCCAATACTCCTGATCCTTTAGTGGAACGTTTCGTCAGGAATTGTCCAGTCGAAGGTGAAGGACTTTTCAGATGATGAAATGATGTTCCAGGGGTCGGAAGTCTTTTCCAAGGGTGTTGGTTCCTGATGTGGATAGAGACGTCGCAGAAGTTGAAACTC